GCGGTGAAGAACCTGCAGACGGCGGAGCTGAACCGCCTGAAGGTGCCCAAAGATGTGATTACGCTGAGCAGAGATGAGATCATCCCCGGCCACCTCAACCTGGACGCCCTGCGCCTCGGCGGCAGCCTCCAGGTGGAAAATGGCCTCGTCGACGGCATCAACATCACCCACCTGGACCAGCGGTACATTGCCCGGCTGGCCGGTCACTACCACAACCTGACCTTCTACAAGCCGGTGCGCGTGAAGACGCTGAAGGTGGTGGGCGGCCATGGCGCAAACGGCGTCAACCTCGAGGAGGCCTACGCCGATGCGGTCTTCAACAACAGCCACGGCACGCTGCAGGCGCCGGTGCACATTGCCGGCACGAAGGTGATTGGCAGCATGCTGCGCTGTGGCGAGCTGCAGGCAGTGGCCGTCAACGGCCAGTCGACGGCCAACTACGTGACCACCTTTCAGCCGGCAGCCTTTCCCGCACAGGCGGCGGTCACCTTCTGGGGCCCGGTGCAGTTTGGCGATGTGGCGTTGAGAGGCACTTTGGATGGAGTCCGGGTGGAGCACCTGCTGAGCAGTGTCGCCCAGCATCGACGGGGACAGAGGACGAGGGTGCTGCACGGACGGAAGCGCTTCTCGGAGGTGGTCCACGCAGACAGGCTGGTCGTCACGGGGACCATCAACGGCATTGCGCCGCGCCACTTTATGCTGTACAGCACGGAGCAGAACATCACCGGGCGGAAGTCGTTTAGCGAGGCGAGCTTTGGTCGTCTGGTGGCTACCACCACCACGACCGCCACCACGACCGCCACCACCACCGCCACTTCAAATCTGCAGNCACTTTGGATGGAGTCCGGGTGGAGCACCTGCTGAGCAGTGTCGCCCAGCATCGACGGGGACAGAGGACGAGGGTGCTGCACGGACGGAAGCGCTTCTCGGAGGTGGTCCACGCAGACAGGCTGGTCGTCACGGGGACCATCAACGGCATTGCGCCGCGCCACTTTATGCTGTACAGCACGGAGCAGAACATCACCGGGCGGAAGTCGTTTAGCGAGGCGAGCTTTGGTCGTCTGGTGGCTACCACTTCCTCCACCGCCACTTCAAATCTACAACTGACCGGGCTGCTGAACGGCGCCAACTTTAGCACGCTGACCAGCCAGCAGATTGTCTGGCTGCGAGTGCCACGCCTTTTGGACACCACCGCCGCTGCCGGCTTCTACTGCGGCAACTGCTCGGCGGTGAACGTCAACGCGCAGGTCGTCAACGGCCGAAACTTTACCTACTGGGTGCGGCACTACCTCTCGAAGAGTCGCCCGCAGACGGTCACCGGGCGGATGCACTTCAAGGGAGTGCAGTCCTTTGTGGAGCTGAGCAGTCGAAGTGGCCTCGTTGCCGGCATCAACATGGAGGAGATTAGAGAGCAGGCGGTGACGCTGCACGGCCACAACATTATCCGCCAGCGGCTGGTGCTGCACGACGACCTGGTGCTGGCCAATGGCCGCCTGATGGCGGGCACCTACAATGACATCAACGTCAGCGAGTTCTACCAGAAGGCGGTGCACAGCAATCACACCGATGTGGTGACCATCCACGGGCGGACCATCTTTGGCCGTGGCTTTGACCTGCACGCCGACATGAGAGCCGACCTGCTGAATGGAGTGCCCCCGGAACGGCTGCTGATGACGAAGACGGGCAACTATGAGGTGAAGTCGACGGTCACCTTCTCCGGCCGGGTGGTCACCAGCGGAGATGTCCGCGTGAAAACGGCCCTGAACGGCCTTGATCTGGCACGACTGGACGCCAGCATGCTGAAGGTGAATGACCGCGGCGAGGTGGACGGCTCGGTGAACTTTCTCTCGCCGGTAGAGGTGGCAGAGGTGGTGGCCGTCCAGGGCCTGGTCGACGGCATTCCCCTCAGCCGAGAGACGGTGCTGATGGCCAATGGAGGTAGTGGCGGAAGTGGCGGACAAAGCCTCAATCGACTGATCCTCGACGGCCCCTCGCACTTTACCGACGACCTGCACGTGCTGGGGAACATCAACGGCTACGCACAGGAGAACCTGGGCAAGATTGTCATGGCACGGTCGGGCGAGCGGCAGGTGATCAACGCCAGCAAGACCTTTGCGCGGAACATCGAGGCGGTGGAGATTCGCCAGCTGGCCGGCGATGTGCGCATTCAAGTGCTGAACGGCGTGCCGCTGGCGCACTTTGAGCGCAACGCCGTCTACGTTTCTGCCGCTGAGGGGGCGGCAAATCGCAGCAGCAGCAGCAGCCAGCAGAAGGTCATCAAAGCGCAGAAGCACTTCTACCAAAACGTCACCCTGGCCACCCGTCAGGTGACCCTTCGCGGAACGGTCAACGGCGTGGACCTCCTCCGCGAGGTGATCCGCCTGGACGGCCTGGTCAATCAGACGGTGACCGGGGTGAAGACCTTTGAGCGCGTGCACCTCAATGAGGACATTGACGTGCACGGGCAGGTGAACGCCCTCGACCTGCCCGCCATCCACCGGTCGGTCCTCTACACGGTCGGCCAGCAGGAGGTGCCCCGGCCGGTGGTCTTCAAGGCGCCGCTGTACCTGGCTGCGGACAGTCACGTCGACCGGCTGAACCACCTGCCGCCCTCCAGTCTGTTGACGCTGGCCGGTGACCAGCACATTGCCGGGGAGCTTCGCTTTGGCACGGCCAAGGCGACCAGTGTGACCAGCGCCACCGTCAACGGCGTCAACCTCACCGACGTGGCGCAGCACGTCCTCTACAAGAGCAGCCCGGCGCCGCAGCGCGTCCAGGCGACCCTGGTGGTGAACACGGCCCGCTTTGAGGGCGACGTTGCCCTGAAGTACCACCTCAACCGGGTGGACCTCAATGTGGCCGTGGAGGCGGCCAAGGCCAACCTGCACCAGCAGTTTGCCGACGTTCAGCAGGTGGCGAAGACGATCAGCAGCAGTGCGGCGAAGCTAAAGCAGCACCAGCTGCGCATTGACTACGCTCGCTTTGCCATTCAGTACCTGGTGCCCTCGAAGTTACAGGTGGAGCAGCTGTACCACCAGAAAGCTACTCTGGCCGCCGCCAAGTTTGACTACCTCTTTGGACAGCAGATTGGCCAGGCGGTTTATGCGTCGTTGATGACCTATGAAGCGGCTACCACTACGACCACCACCACAACCACCACCACCAAAACGTTCACCACCACCTGCCAGCCGTTCACCTTTCGCACTCACTTTTATGTGGCGGTCATTGAGTCGCCGAATAGAGTCAAGTCGGAGAGTGCTCCCATGATGATGCGTTCCACACTTCGCCTGCTGGCCATCATCTGGGACCCCCGCACCGGAACGCCCCTCTTTGAGCAGAAATACGCAGAGGTGTTCAGCTCTAGTAAGTAGCACCTCTGATTGCCTTTCATTCATTCAATCAAAAAGCTAACCTTTATCCAACCTTTACAGACTTGAAAACGCTGGTCTTCACCATGGACGACTCGCTGTACATTCTCTACGGCAGCCGAGTGACGGCCAGCTGTGCCGGAATAGCCGGAAACAACAACAACAACAACAGCACTACTGGCAGCTACCTGAAACGCCTGCTCGTCTCCACCACCACCGGCCACTTTTCCTCTCCACAATCGTCAGCCATTGTTCAGCAGTTCAGCAACGAGGAGGCGGTGCGCAGCATTGGCCACTTCACCGACGGCCAGGGCTACCACCACCTACTGTTCAGCAGTCAACAGGTCAGTGTCGGTGAACGGCGGCTGACGGTGTACAAGCGCATGGCTGGCACTTCCGCCGCCGATTCCTGTCACTTTGAGGCAGTGCAGCGCCTGGAGGTGGCCAGAGGACGGCTGATGGCGCTCTTCAAGTTTGGCCTGCCCAACTTGCTGGAGCAGTACCTCCTGGTGCTGGAGCGACGGCAGCTGACGCTGTTGAAGCACCAGGGCGTCAATGGTTTTGCCCAGCGATGGACAGCTCCGGCGTCGTACCTGCCCGTTTCCGGTGACGATGACGATGATGACGAGGCTGATAGCCTCGGCCAGGCACTGACACCCTTTTTGCTCAACACGGCGCACAACTCTACACGGCCGCAACAGCAGCAGCAGTTTCAGCGGCTCTTTTTCAACACGCCCTCTTGTCCAGATCCCGTCTTTGAGGCGGTTCTCAGTGGCCGCTTCAACGGTTTGCAGCTCTTTTACGACGATTTTTACTGAGGGGCAGCTTCTGTTGAGGAGGAGAGGATTCTTATATATTGAGTTGATTTTCAAATTTCTCTCTATTTATTCTACATGTTGTTATAATATATTCACTTTTTCATTAGTAAAAGTTGGTTTAGCGTCTGAAGTTCAACTGTTTTATTAGCAAGTTGTGTGGGTTGTACAAAACAATGAAAAATAATAAAAAGTAGTGTTATATCAAATGTAATATAAAATAAAATGACTGTTATAGAAAAGGTATTTGAAAAAAGTTGATAAAAAATTATAAAAAAGAAGCAGTTTGCTGATTACAGAATAAGCCTCAAGATAAAGAATAAAGAGAACTGATGCAGCAGTAAACGAATGTGTGTGTGTGTGAATAAATAAAATCAGCATGCAGAATTGCAATCAGAAAGTAAAAAAGTGTAAGCAAAATAGAAAGAAAGATCAAGTTAAATCATAAATCACAAAAAATAAGAGAAACGTTCTTCAAGAAAAAAAGTTTGAAGTGGCCACACTAGAAGTAGTGCTAGTAAGTAATAGTGGTCGTAATGCTTCGGCATACGGTGCATATCCGCTAATAAAAAAAGTTCTGGCTACTGAAAAGTGGAACAGAACAGAAAGAGAAGGAGAAAGAGAAGGAAATTCGCTCGTGAGTATTGCGAGTGTAGAACGATTGTCCTCAGTGAACTGAACGAGCAGCGTTTTTCAGCAGTGTTTTTGCATCATCATCACCATCATCATCAGCAACGACGTTTGATTCTGCAGCATCAACTCAACTCAACTCATCATCATCAGAGAAAGGCATGGGAAGCACTGAAGCACTCGCGTTTTAAAACTCCCACAGCGTCGCCTTCTCCGGCGTGGTGGGCGCGACCAGGAGCGCCCCATTGGCGGTCAGGTTCAGGTAGCCGTTGGCGTCTGCGGTGCGAATCGCCAGGTAGGTGCCGGTTCGCAGCTCCAGCTGAAAGGCCTGCGCACAGGCGGCGTTCGGCGCATCGGCGGCCAGCGTCTGACCGCCATCGACCACGTGCAGGTACTTCCCCGTGGAGACCAGCTTGAAGAAGACGCAGTTGAAGGTGGAGTTGATCAGCTCGAGGTCCACGTCGCCGCCGCCGTTGATGCCGATGCCGCCGGTGCCGCCGGTGCCGGACAGGTTCTCCGAGTTGGCGTACTCCACGGTAAACAAGTCAGGAATGGTTTTGTTCGATTCCAATTTCACCGAGCCTGGTAGAGAAGGGAAAGATGAGAGAGAGAGAGAGAGAGAGTTAGAAACAATGCAGCACAACAATGAAACGATTAGCCGTGTCTTTGTCTCGGCTTGTGTGCTCCAAATTGGCCATTGTCGAGTGGCACATTCGATTGACAGGCACTGTCATTTTCCCACCGCCGGCAATGAAAGCGAAGAGCGACCCGTCATTTTCCCCGTTATCGTAGTTTTTGTCGTTGTAAACTTGCCGCTTATCAGCAGGTTCATCATCATCATCATCATCAACCGCAACAACCGCAACAACTTACCTTGGCCCTTTGTTCCCACAAAGCCGCTGGCGTTGGCACCGCGCAGGCTGATGCTGGTGCGGTTAAGAAACTTGACGTAGAAACGAATCGACTCCGGCCCGCCGGTGAACAGCTGACCCGACTTTCGGGCGCCCAGACTGCGCAGCTGCCCGCCGCTGCTCGGCTCCAGAGCCATCAGCGAGCAGGTGCCGTCGTCGATGTTCCAGACCAGGCGGAAGTAGGCTCGGTCGCTGCTGCCGGCGGATGCGCTGTTGGACACCTGCACCGTGGAGGCGGCGCCGAAGGCCCAGTACTTGCCTTCGAAGGTGCTGATGCACCAGCGGTCGCCCTTTGCCTCGTACTCCAACTGGAAGGTCTCGTGCTGGGTGACGTCATTTTGATTGGCCGACAAGTCTACGCCTAAAAGAAGGAAGGAAGGAAGGAAGGAAAGAGGAAAACAAGTAAGTAAAGAGTTGCTGCTGAGTAAAGAGATGCGCTGAAGAGGGGGATGTTAGAAGTGGCACTCTCATTCATCACGGCACGCCATGAATGTGTCATGTACACTCACTCGCTCGCACTCAACGCACACACACAGACACAGTTTTGCAGTACCACAGCAGCAGACAAAACAATCAAGCCTGGCGCTTGCAACTTGTAATCGCATTTCGCCTCCGCGCCGAACAGAGCCGGGGTAGCCGGCAGACAAAGCCGATCATTGTTCGGCTGTGCTTGGCAATGGAAAACTGTGATGAAGAGACCACCGCCACTTGAAAGGGGAAAGGGAATGAACAGGCTTAGGTCAAGTAGATCACCAGTAAATGGCCAGTGAGGTAATTAGAGAGAGAGAATGCTGTGCACTGAGTCGGCAAATGCAAAAAGAAAAGCACATCAGTCTTTCCATTCTGCCCGAAGGAGTGATCATCAGTCTGATTTGATCGAAGAAGAAGAGGAAGAGGATCGGATCACATCGGAGAGAGCATTCGATTGGTGGCCATTCACTGCTGCGGTCATTGGAGAAAAAAAACGCGGTAGATCAGTCGCAGTGTACAATGGAAGCAGCTCAAGAGGAAGAAAAAGAAGAGAAAAGCTACTGGCGTTTCATTGTCCGCCGAATGAGAGGAGTGCGTCTTCTTGATTTGACATTCCTCGAATTGACATCGCAGCAGCAGCAGCGTGCGCCAGCTATGGCCGCAGTTCTCCGTCCACCTTGGGTACTGAGCTACTTCAGCTTGACTAGTCATGCTTAGCAAATGGGCCCGCTGTGAGTTGATGGTGGACGCCAGCCTCGGAGAGCTGCTGCTGCTACCTCTTCTTCTACCTCTTCTTCTACCTCTTCTTCTTCGTCTCTAATCAAAGCGAGCGCTGTCCATTGAAGCGCGCCAAGCGAGCGGAACCTATCCATTTGCATCTAATCGCGGCATAAATTCTATTATGCGCCAGCTTGACAACTACCACCACCACTACCACCACCACCACTATGACATCTCATAAATCCTCGCCCCCGTGGCCCCCAACTGTCTGCCAGTGTGTCTGTGACGGTGTGTGTGTGTATTAATTACCCATTGTACTCTCTTCCCCCCCCCCTTTCTTCCGTTTAGCCAGCAGTCAGGCAACCCGGAGAGCACTTACCCTGTTTAATGCTAACCCACTTGTTGTTGAAGGTAGCGCGGAAGGCGACCTGCAGCGGCGCCGGCTCAAACTCAAACAGCTCATCCTTGCCGACGGCGTTGGAGCGCGTGCGCAGCACCGCCTGGCGGCCGGCCGCCGCCAGGTAGCGGCCATTCTTGTCGCGGAATGCAATGTACCCGCCGTGGTACTCAATGGTGAAGAGACAGTGCTTCGGCGGCCAGTCGCCGCTCTTTGTCGCCACAGCTGTTGTTGATCCATTGCTGACGCCATTGCCGTTCTTCGCCCCTCCGCCATTGAAGGCGCCAATCCTCGCAGCGACGGACAGTCCACCACCACCACCTCCTCCACCTCCAGAACTTCCGTTCGTTGCCGCCCCCTCGCCAATGTCCACACAGGTGCCCTCACAGGAGAGGTACTTCACCTTGGCGGAGGCGCTGGAGGCGGTGACCAGTGCGTAGTTGCCATTGTCGAAGTACTTGAACTGAAAGAGCGTCTGCGGGCCCCAGGCGTTGGTGGCGTCCACCTGCACCTGCTCGGCAACGTCGGCGGCGCCGTCCGCTTTAGCTCCATTGCCATTGTTGTTGAAAACTAAATGCAAAAAAAAACGGTAATGATGATGGTGAGAAAGCAAAAGCACTACCACTACCACTACTGACCATTGAAAGCATTAGCGGCGATGATGCGTGCGTATCGCTTGCGGCCAATGGACTTGAGGGCGAACATAGTGGCCCCACTGGCGGGCACCAGGTGAACGTGCCACAGTTCCGCCTTGGACTGCGGCATCTTTGCATTGCAGACGATGTCGCCGTCGCCGGAGACGCCCAGAAAGTAGCCGCGCGATATATTGCGGAAGGCCCAGGATATTTGATCTAGTTGAAGGAGAGAGAGAGAGAAGAAAAAAGGAGGAAAAAAAGGAAAGAGAGAAAAAATGTTAGTGAAAAGAAAAAAAATAATAGGCTGATGTTAGCTGGCAGGCGGACAGGCAGTTGGACGCCAGTTGATAGATGATGGCTGAACTGGAGGGGGAAGTGACACTGCAATCAACAACAGCAGCAACAAGTGCTCGCTGCCTGACAATTGCAGTGTTGTGGTAGCTCTTGTGGTACACTGAGAGAGAGTTTACGGCCACTGAAAGTGCACCATCAGCAGCTCGCCGATCAATCACCATCTTTGGGGAGACTACACAGCAATCGACCGCAAAATCAGCCCACTGCTCCGACCTCCTCCGACTCACCTTCCTCCTGTCCCTCCTGTGTCATCGAGCAGATGGTGATGGTGAAGCGACAGTTGTCCGTCAGCTGGGGATTGTCACAGGTGACATTGCCGTAGCTGTCCACCGCCAGGTAGCAGTTCAGGTGCGACTTGATGGCCACGTTCTCCAGCTCGTCCAGCTCGTCGATGCTGCCCTGCGGACTGAAGGAGCCACGGCCATTGGCCACTCCGCTGGAAGAGCCATTTGAAGAGCCATTGCTGGGACTGTTTCCATTGCCGTTTCCGTTGAGACTGCTGCTGCTGGCCTTCATGGGAAAGGGCTCCACACTCCACAGTTGCTTCTTCTTCAACGCCACGCCGTTGGCGTTGATCTTGTGGCCGAAGGTCTCCGCAGTCAGGTACTTGTACTGCCCGTTCACTAGGCCAACTGTTCCGGACCACATTTTAGTCGGTTTTTGTTGTTGTTGTTGTTGTTGTTGTTGTCTAAAAGAAAGAAGAAAAAGGTGAATTAGTATAATAGCAATTAAAATGATGTGAATAAATGGTGGTGGTCGTGGTGGCAAATGAATTGCCATTAACTGAAATTGCCTACGCAACTGTCTTTCTCTTTTCAGGTTCCAAGTGAGCAAAACAACAGCAGTAATGATGATCGCTGAGCGGAAAACGCAAATCACAAGCTATTTTTCGCCAGTCACATCAGTCAGCTAGTCAGTCAGTCGCAGTGTACTACTTCTTCTTCTTCTCTAGTTAGCTCACCGTTTTATCTCAGCTCAGCTTGACTTACTCACCAGCACACCGAAAGCGAGCACTAATCTGTGAAATGAAATTCAGAGTCTCATCTCCTCTCTGTGTCAGAGGAAGAAAACCCAACGGTGAGATAGAGTGAAGTGAAGTGTAAGCCACACAAAAAGTGGACAAAAGTAGCGCAGTATTAAGTGCTGAAAAAATATGCAAAAGTGCTGATGGTAGTGGTGGTGGTGAAAAAGTACTCACTAGATCGCAAGTAGAGCCTGAAACGGGTTTAAGTCAAAAGTCGGGCAAAAATTGGACAAACGAGAGAGATTGCGCTTCGTCTTCGTCTACCTGGCCGCAACTACCACTGTGACCACCGGGCTAACAATGCAAAAGGCAAGTGCAAAAGTGCGAGTCTCAGTTTGAGTGCACGAGGAAAACGGAAAGAAGACGAAGAAACAGAAGAAGAAGCAGAAGAAGCAGCAGCAGCAGACAAGGTGGCACAAAGATTAAGGAAAATTGGACTTTTCTCTGTTCGCTCTTTGAACCGCCGTTCGAGCACACCACTACAATGCCTGCTGGCGCCCGGTGACAGCCAAGAAGATCAGAAAGGAAGAAAGAAAGAAGGAAAGAGAGAGAGAGAGAGAGAGAGAGAGAGAGAGAGAGAGAGATAGTGGCACAATGCACACCATAATTCGGCACCACAACACGTCGGTGGACGGAACGGGCCATTATTCAGATCGTACGTCCGTGGAGTGAAAAAAGGCAAACAGCAGACTGCTCGGATATCTGATGCAAAACACATTCACATTCACACACACACGCGCTCAAAGACAACAACAACAGCAACAACAGCGACAACGACAGACTATGGCCAAGAACAACAACACAAAGAGTGAAGAGTCTGCTAATGGAAGGAAAGGAAGACAGAAAAGGGAAGGAGGAAAAGACACCACCACCATGGAACATCGCCAACAGCAGGACAACTGCTGCTGATTGCAAATGACTCGGGAGACAACGCGTTGAGAAACGGCTCAAATGAGCGAGTGAATGGAACAACCGAAGAATGAAGTGCTCGTGCTCTCAAAAAGACAGAAGAGGAAGTAAAGAATTGTCGTGACTGCTCTTATTGAAGAAGGAACCAAGTGGCCAACCATTTCCTGCACTTGCGTGCCAGAATTCCTGCCAGACGGTCATTTTACATTTCACAATGGCCAAAAGTAGAAATTTCAAAATTGGCTGACAAATATTTGACCCGAAAGAGAGGAGGAGAGGAAGATAACGGCTAAATGCAGCACGAGCTGTGTTATGGCATTTGCCAAACTCAACGGGCTCAATAAATTGTAAACTGCTTCTTCAGGCAAGCTAAGACGCTCATTACAGTATTTCCTTCGAACTGAAAATAACATCATCATCAGCAACATAAGGAAAGAAGGAGAGCGATGGTCAGAGAGTGTTAATTATCGACGGCTGTAAATTACCGCCTGTGTGTTGCAGCCGAGAACTACAATGCTGCGCAGCGGCGGCGGAAGAGGTTAACTGCACACACACATTACATCACATCGCACACCGATAGACCGAATAGTGCTCATCACTGCTCGGGTTTATGTAACAAAGCTGCTGAACAACCGCAACAGCAACAGCTGACGAATGTGCGCCGCCATGAGTGACCGAATCTGTGCGGCTCCTCCGTGCTACCCAAAGGAAACACTACAAAGCACCAGGGAGAGAATGAGCGGTCAAAAAAAAGAAGAAGAAAAGTGTAATGCAAAAGCTCTGACATGCGAGGATAAAATTAGACAGTCAGTTCGGTGTTCAGTGTGCGGCAGTGTAATCCGCTCTGATTAGTGGTCTCTGCTCTGCTCTGGTCACGATCGAGGTACGCTGTCTGAGGAAAGTGTCTGTGCTTCTCCTTCTCTCTCTTCCTGCTAATGTTCGGTTTTCCAGTTACAATGCTGATCGATACAGACAGTCAGTCAGTCAATCGAACTGATGAACACAGCCTGTATTTAGGTTAGTTAAAGCAAAACGAATTAAATGAGGTGTATTACTGGCAAATGAGATGTGCCTAAGATGATTAACAGAAAAAGGTTCTATACATGAGCAGAAATTATAGCAAAAAAGAATCGATAGCTGTTGCTAATTTAGTGATACTGATTACTGTGCCTTAGAGGTGACATAAAAAGGTTGCAACTTGCTAGGACTGACTCTGACAGACTTTAACAGAGAATGACAAGTGCCTGTCAGATTTTGCCTGAAAGAGGTAGAAGAGGCAAAATGAGGAGGAGAAAATGGGGCACAATTTATTTGTGCGCCTCGAAGGTAGTCATCAACATCAAAATCAGCATCGAGAAAAGGAGATTGGCAACAGGTGAAACTGCCAGTGGCCAACACTGGAAGGAAGTTAGGAACACTGTGAAAGTATTAAACAGTAGTCAACTGCCGTGTAATAACCTTCGTCAAACGTATGCTATCAAAAAGTGGCAGTAGGATACAGGCACACTTTTGGACAGCAAAATTATCAAATGTTGTAATATAATTTAGAAACACCTAAATTAATTTTTCTTTTTTTTGCGCCGACGGCGCACACGGGTCATCACTTGTGTAATTGCTTTAGCTGTAGCCTTTTGACACTCTGTAGACAAACATAGGCTACTTTAGTATGCACAAACTGACAAATGTAGTTACGGTTTATTCTAAATAATGCAGGCTACAATTAAAGTTTGCCTAAACGTGAGAAAAATATGAAGCGTGATAAATGAATGAAGCAGTAGTGTACAAATGTTGTAGCCTTGCTGGTTTTTTTGTGTGACCAGCCAGTGTCCCTCTATCAAAAGCAAACAGAGATTAAACATATGCAAATGCACTCATCCGATTCAGCGGTGTTGACGGTTCTGAAGATGAGCGAACAGAGTGCACGAGTGAAAATTCTGGCTGGCTGATGATCCTCAGGAGACATGAGAACAAAAAAGAGAAAAATAAAGGTCGAGAGAATGTCTGCCTACAGAGACAATAGCCGCATTTGCTGTGCAAGCTTTTGCAGGCCTGCAATGTCATGCTTGGTGAAATGGAAATTAATTAGCAATCGACCAAAACGTCGATTAATTAAATTGCCATTAGCAAGGAGAAAGAAAAAGGAATAGCCAGTGGAATTCCTCTTTTCCCACTAGCTTTGTGAATCACAATGAAGAAGAATGGAAAGGACAACAGCACTAGAGGAAAAAAGCTCTGAAAGGCTAATCGAATCGATACCTCTTGCCAGCTGACAAGAACAAGTGGCAAGTGGAGCCGCAGTCGAAGTCGAAAAGTTGAAGGTCAGGTCTGGTTGGTCTAAATTGACAATGGGCAGTGCTGACAATGGAGGTGCCTGCTGAAATGGCTTCTTCTCAGCAGCAGTGTGTTCCGATGCATTGTATGTCCGAACATTGATTGTGTAGAAACGGTTGTCGCAGGCCGATAACTGTAATTGGCCGTGCAGCCGAAGACTAGGACAGAAAACAGGACAGAACCAACACTTCTACCACCACCGATTTGATGACGCCAATTGGCGCACCGGAGAAAGAGAAAAAGGATGACGATGACGATGACAGCACTAGCAGCACCTCCTCCTCAACCGCAAGAGCGTGCCAGTGGAATTATCGCCTGTGCCTGTGATCAAACGAGTGTCGCCGATTGTTGCTGTTGTTGTTGTTGTTGTCGTTGCAGTTGCCAGCAAAATGGTGCAAACGAAGTGGAGGCGGCAGTGATTCGGTAAATGTACCTTAATTGGCAATAACAGAGGAGAATATAGCTAGCAGAGGGGAAAGAAGAAGGGTGGCAGACAAACGTGCCATTCATTGACGGCCACTTGCCGCTCGCTCACTCACTCACTCATACACACACACTCAAATACACTGTGGCACACGAGACTGATTGGCCAAAACGGTAATTATAATTAACAGAAGCAGCAGCTTAGGCAGGCACTGTTTACCAGCACTGCAATGCACAGTCGATTGACGCCCCGAATAAGCTTGGGCTTTGGCCGAGCAGAAGGAGCAGAAACAGCAGCGGCAGCAATGTGGCACAGTGCAGCACAGCATGGGCAGAGAGACACATTCATGCGATGAAAATTGCCATTTGCATCGCGCCACTAGCCAAAAACTTCATCAGCACTACTGCTGCTGCTACTACTAAGACCACAAACAGCTGCACCGAATTGACAACTTTCAGCAGTGTTTTGAGCATGGCACAGGCAAAGCAGTGGTGTGTCCACATTTATTTCCATTAGTCATATTTGCTGCCCTGTCGTCTTGATGGTCGTGCCACCAATCAGTGTCTGAGTGACTGAAGCTTGTCTGCCTGCTTCCCCCCGTCTCTACCAAAGCCTCTGTGCTACTCTTCTTCGTCACCCTGGTCGCAGCTTTCTTCTTTTTCAAACATGGAAATTGGGAAGAAAGACGGTTAAAAGACAAATTGCCGCCGCGCAGTCGGCAGGCAGCCAGCAAACATTGAAAATGATGATTTGCAGTGCTTGAGCAGCAGAAGCGCAGACAGANGCCACCAATCAGTGTCTGAGTGACTGAAGCTTGTCTGCCTGCTTTCCCCCGTCTCTACCAAAGCCTCTGTGCTACTCTTCTTCGTCACCCTGGTCGCAGTTTTCTTCTTTTTCAAACATGGAAATTGGAAAGAAACACGGTTAAAAGACAAATTGCCGCTCAGTCGTCAGTCAGTC